ATTTATTTATTTATTTAGGCATTACAATGTAAATAATTTCTATTCAGAAATGAAAATTTTTACACATTACATTATTATAGTTATTTCCACACTAGAGTGACATTTTATGATGACTTAACCTAGGATATTCCTACAATTCCTCAAAGCCCAGTTATATATATATATATGAATATTAAAATTTTCTGGACTTTTATAATGTAAGACAATTTAACATTTTGTTAAGTTAATGAGTCATATGCATTTTTTTGTAATTATGGCACAGGAAAATATTCATTAACGGGAATTTACTACGATTAAACTACATGAGGAAGACCTTTGTCTTAGAAAATAAATAACCACAAGAGCTCATTGTAATTTGATAAGACAATAATTTCTGGCATTACAACAAACAGCAGATCTACATGACATGTTAGCCAAAACATCCTGTTAAATTCCATTTTTCACCCTCCATGTTACGACCTTTACCTCAGATGCTGGATAATATACACCAAGACACGACATTTTTAAACGAGACAGCATTATTTTATACAGCTATATCGGTTAATTTAATTCGTGCATTACACTTACCTTAAGTACTATTGTATTCGTTGTAAAATCCTTAAAAAAACTGTTGGTTTCTGGAAGCTTAAATGGACGGAAACATTTGCACACAGGTAACTTGTGAAGACTTTTTTGTAAACAGGTGAGTAAATAATAAACTCCACAAAGCATCACCCATAGAGGTTCCAGTCCACCTTTAACATGGCAAACTCTGTCTAAGAGGTTCTGAATATATAGTTCTACTCTTTATAATCAACTTATCTGACGTATATTTACAGGTGGGTCAAAATTACAGGTAGCTGTACATTGCCGGTGTTTCAGATATTAATTTATTTCTTGCATTTAAAAATTGTATAATTTTTTAAATTTTGTTTTGAATATTTGGGAAACCGTTAAAAGAATGCTCGGGAAGAAATTACTCTAATAAAAGAGTTCGTGTAGATCAGCGGTAGCGTGATCAGCTCACAGCCAAAATAATTCGGTTCGAATCCCGAGCGAGTCGAGGTGTCAAAGCAAGTCTTACACATGTTTAGCAAGTTTATTTAGATACAGGTACACATAAATAGTTGCACAAATTATCATACATGATAACATATGTGTAAATTCCCTAGAATAACCCAAAGAAGTCAAGGTGACTTAGATGACTGTCGTGGGTCGCATCCTGGGGAAGAGGACCTAAGGATTATACATTGTTGGACATAGGAGGAAATTACCTTGTGGCCCTTCCTGACACCTGCCTGCCCCTGTTCACCGAGTAGTCAGTGTTAACCGACTGTTGTGGGTCGCATCCTGGGGAAGATGATCAAAGGACCTCATGAAAATAAGTCCTCGTGGCTTTACTGACTTTTCCTGAGTTACAAACCCTCCTGGGTTAATAATCCGAATAAAAAAATTCTTCTAATAGCAGACAGGTCCAATTCCTTGGATCAAAAGCCCCTGAGCGAATAAAGGTACCTTACTTGAGGGGTGATGGGTTAATAGCATTCCTGGTTAATAATAATCTTCATCTGATGAAATAAAAGAGAATATATTGAATATCATTGTGATCATTATGTATTTTATTATTAACAAACACACAGACCAGCTGACACAAGTAGGTAATTACATAAAAATTGAATTCACTTCAATGTTTTTAAAATTAGTGTACTTAAAATACAATATTCTGACGGCCCATGGGATACACAAGCATATAATATAACGTATAATACCTTCTCTTGGAGGTACTTTACGCAATACCATTTATAATTCCAAGTAAATATGTTACAAACTGAACAGTGAAGATTGGAACATAGTGTGTATATATTAGCACATATGTATATGTATACACATAATTTACTTTATCTTATTTTAAAGATTAAAGTGTTCTTGATGTACAGGTAATTTTTGCCACCTTAATAAAGCACGTGCAGTTGTTAGACCTTAACAACTGCCCTTAACAGCTATTATAACTTCCAGTAAGTGATGTCTCACACACAAATTGCCTGCTAAATTTCAATATAACTGTCTTAAATGTCTTTCCTTCCTTATATTTGCACCGATGTAAAATTAATTATCCATTTTAATTATCTGTTATTACCTATTTGTAATTACCTATCTGTAGCTACAGGATTAAAGCTATGATTATGGTGTTCCATCTTCATTATTTATCTACTTATACTTATAAAATATAAAGCTTGTAACACCCACTACCTCCTCTTGTAATTCTTTCCTGGATGTGTGACTATATCTGTAGTTTAATGGCCACATTTCACACCTATCAGATATTTAAGACACGTGATGTTTTTTCTTGCAATTGTTAATGAAATGTGGAGTTGGGGAAAATCTATGCCTGGTGCTAGTGCATAATAGTCATACCATCAATGGCTTTATAGACGAGTGGGATTAATGTTCTATTAGAGATTAAGAAGATGCCGGCAGAACTTTGGGTTTTATTCATGAAATATCCATTTGGATTGTCAATCTTCAATAAATAACAAAAAAAGGCACAATACCGTGACTGGAACGATACACAAATAACCCGCACATAAAAGAGAGAAGCTTACGACGACGTTTCGGTCCGACTAGGACCATTTACAAAGTCACACTGGCTTTGTAAATGGTCCTAGTCGGACCGAAACGTCGTCGTAAGTTTCTCTCTTTTATGTGCGGGTTATTTGTGTATGTGTCAATCTTCAGTCTGATCATTGTGGATAAATGTCTCAGAGAACAGACAAGTTGATAAATTAGACACATGAGCAACATTTGGGTATCTTTATTAATAAAAATACTCAAGTGTTAGCCATGTGTCTAATATATCACTGAAGAATTATATTGGGACTTCAACATGTGTGTTGTCAACGGTGTAAGTTATATCTTCTTTAAGTGACGGCTCGATACTAGATGTGGTTTTTAGCCAGTATTTTGCATATGAAGAAAATGTTATTTAGTTTCTTTCAATTTCATTAATGGCTTATTGTTCCCTGTGTCTGTCCTTGACTCTGATGCATTTAGTTTGAGCTCAATATTTTTCATGGTTCAGTAATTGATTCAAAGCTTATCGGCTACACAAAGGTCTTTAATTCAAACTATAATTGTAGAAATCTTAAAAGTTTATAACAATATATAATTATTTTTAAACAAATCAAGAACTTTTAGAGGATTTTCTAATGTTTGCATTAGTAAAATTAGCACAACTGTAGTATTCATTTTGGAGTTGTAAGTGATATATTGAGGACGATGTACAGGTGGCTTTATACACAAATTTAATTTTTTACATTGGATGTCAGGCCACATGGATAGTTCAGGCTTATGTCTCTCAGTGTATATAAAGCGTCAGGAAACAATTGTCCTGTTTCCTGGCAAATATTATACCTACTTTTAATCCCTATTTTTATGGAGTAAAGTATTCTCAACTGAGTGTTCCAATTACATGCACCCTTAATAACCCTGGTGTATCCGATAGGCCTAAAAAAACAATTATTACCTCTCACTGGCCTACATAATCTCTGACCTGGGTCATCTGGTCTTCTATCTTGTCAAAAGAGTTCCTGTGTAATGACCAAAAGTAATTTCTACTTCAGTATTCAATATTTCAAATATTATGCCTAAAATTGTTATAAAATGTCATAAATGCCATAAAGCATAAACAAAATTGTTTCATACAATGTCAAAAATTGCAATCTATAGCATTCTAGTAAAATAAAATATTCACATAATTGTTCAGTAGTTATGAAGTAATTTTAAGGCTGTCTAGAATGTTCTGTATAACCAGGAGCTTTCTATAAATTATCATAATTATGCGTCATATCAATGCAATTTACACTATGTATAATAATTGTACTTATTTGTATCTGTTCCTAAATAAGCTCATTAATAATTATCATTAACAGAACTCATTGATTCCCTGGGGTGGGGAGTCAAGGTTGTTAAGGTGTACCCGTGGTGAACCTTAACAACCCTGACACCAACAACAGTGACCACTAGTTGTTTCCTCCACTACTAGCCTACAATATCTCTAACTAGGGCACTCTGGACTATTATTCCATCCCCTATAGGTTCTTCTACACCCCCTACTATCCTCCATTGATGGATGCTTTGTGCCGCCTGAACGGCTAGGTTATTCTTCATGACATGCTCATCCTGTGAGTTGTAGCGGAAAAAAAACCAGGATTACAGATTTCACAATGGGTCTTTATCAAACCCCAATGGGCACTGTTACACCTCTAGAAAGACAAAATATTCATTTCATATTTCAAAATTACTTGATAACTCCCTGATTCTCGGTAGCAGGGAGGTAAGTAAGTTTATTCAGGTGTAGGTACACATAAATACAGTTACATAAATTATGATACTTAGCAGCACATGTGTACATTACCTAGGATGAAACCCCCCCTAAAAAAAAGAAAAATCAAAGTAAATTATTTCCATTGTACTGGTAGAGCTCAGTACTGTACATGTCTTGGTGGCCCTTAATGGTAGAGCTCAGTACTGCACATGCCTTAGTGGCCCTTAATGGTAGAGCTCAGTACTGCACATGCCTTAGTGGCCCTTAATGGTAGAGCTCAGTACTGCACATGCCTTGGTGGCCCTTAATGGTAGAGCTCAGTACTGCACATGCCTTGGTGGCCCTTAATGGTAGAGCTCAGTACTGCACATGCCTTGGGGGCCCCTTAATGGTAAAGCTCAGTACTGCACATGCCTTGGTGGCCCTTAATGGTAGAGCTCAGTACTGTACATGCCTTGGTGGCCCTTAATGGTAAAGCTCAGTACTGCACATGTCTTGGTGGCCCTTAATGGTAGAGCTCAGTACTGCACGTCTTGGTGGCCCTTAATGGTAGAGCTCAGTACTGCACATGCCTTGGTGGCCCTTAATGGTAGAGCTCAGTACTGCACATGCCTTGGTGGCCCTTAATGGTAGAGCTCAGTACTGCACATGCCTTGGTGGCTCTTAACGGTAGAGCTCAGTACTGCACATGCCTTGGTGGCCCTTAATGGTAGAGCTAAGTACTGCATATGCCTTGGTGGCCCTTAATAACCCCAACAACAATAACGACGTTGATTCCCACAATTGCAGGATTGCAGTGATAACTATCATCAGTGAAGCAGCACAGGTAGTCAGTGCAGACGTCAGTGGCCCTGATAAACCCAACAAAGAAAGAAGTCAGTGGACATCAGAGTCATCAGGAGGTGAAGGAAGACACTGCAGGTATCCTGAAGCAGCAGTGGTCGCTGCCTCACTCATCATCAATGGCTCAGGTCGACTATGATATCGTCGGCGAGGAACTGGAAAAACAGGAATTAGATGTAATTAGTCCGTGTTTATTTGTACATTTGCCCATTTGGAGCGGGTATTGTGGTGCTAGTGAGGGGTTCTTGATCTGAGGAACTGGAGTTACCCCTCCTGTTTCTTAGTCACTTTGATTTTCTCGGGTTTTCTTAGGTAATTACACAAATGTTATTATGTATGATAATTTATGTAACTGTATTTATGTTTGCCTATACCCAAATAAAATTACTTAATAAGTTTATTTAGTCACAGATAAACATTAGTACAATTATCATACATAGTGTAAATTACCTAAAAGTGACTTACGTCTCTTTTCCATTGGGGTCATTTTTCAATTTTCATATTATTGTAGTTAACTGCATAAGAAATCCTACTCATGTCTAAATCTTAAGTAATAATTAAGCATTAGGATTAGTTTGGTGAGGGGCTCTTGATTTAGGGAATTAGATCTGTGCTCCAGTTTCCCAAATTAAGCCTGAATGCCTTCCACATCCCCCCCAGGCGCTGTATAATTCTCCGGGTTTAGCGCTTCCCCCTTGATTATAATAATAATAATAATTAGGATTAGTTTACCAACAATGAGTTGCACGCTAGTGGCCTTTTTATTCCTGCCTGTGTTTTATTACATGTGTGAATATTAAGCAAGGAATTTATAGTGTAAAAATTAGAAAAAATTACAAACTTCTTAAATAATTACAAAAGGTATTATTTAAGAGGTTAGTGGAGGGTTTGGTGAGATGGTTTGGCCATTTGTGGTTTAGCGCTTCTTTTTGATTATAATAATGCAGAAGATGGAACAGGATTTTGGATATGCTCATTTACCAACTGGAGGGATGTTCAACTCAGCATGGGTCTTGTATGTCAGGCACATTATAGTATGTACCTTTAGGAACCAATGTATTTGTTACTAGTTTGGGAAAGCAATAAGGACTAAAACTTTGTGCAGTCTTATAAGGGCCAAACTAATGAAATTATATAAATCATTACATGTATATAGCACTAATAATAAGACAAAACTACTAATAATTGATATGTGTAGTCTGGAGAAGAATGATAAATGTATGAGTGTTGTTATTACAAAGTTTAAACCTCCACTCAAGGGAGATTCCTTTATTCTGGCAAGGGGCACTTGATCTAAGGAATTGAACTTGTTCTCTTCCTTGGATTGAATGTGATTGCCTCCTACCTGGATACCTGGAGAGGGTTTCAGGGGTCGACACCCCCATGGCTCTGGTCTGTTGACCAGGCCTTGTGGTGGATCGGAGCCTGATCAACCAGATGTTACTGTTGGCTGCATGCAACCTTACATACAAACCACAGCCTGGCTGGTCAGGCACTGACTTGAGGTGCCTGTCCAGCACCTTCTTGAAAACAACCAGGGGTCTATTGGTAATTCCCCTTATGTATGCCGGGAGGCAGTTGAACAGTCTTAGGGCCCCTGACACTTATTGTGTTGTTTCTTATCGTGCTAGTGGCACCCCTGCTTTTCATTGGGGGGGAAGTTGCATCGTCTGCCAAGTCTTTTGCTTTCATAGGGAGTGATTTTTGTGTGGAAGTTTGGTACTAATTCCTCTAGGATTTTCCAAATGTATATAATTCAAGTATCTCTCAAGTATCTCCTATTTCCCAAGTGCTGCAAGACCCTCTGTATGTTGGCAGCTTACCCTAAATATAATAGCAAAGTTAAGAATTAATCATTTGGATTTACTTTAAAAAGCTAAGGCAAGATTTATATAAACTGAGAAAACAAAATATAATATGATGGTCACAGTTTTATGTAAAAACCAGTTAAGTATAAAGGGTTTAAAAAAGGATAAAGGGTAACTTGATAAAACACAATTGTTATATCATCGGTTTATTTAACAAGCTTTGTAATTGCTATTAAATAATGTAGCAAACTGTTATTAATAAATAAAAGTATATACAGTAAACCATAAACTCTGACATTTTATTAAGCAAATTAACCAAAATAGTAAAAAAACTTAAATCACAATAATATAAGTTATAATAAATTGCATCCATTTGTTTCATGTTTTTTATGTGACATATTTTCTCATGTAGGCTCCTAATGGGGTTCCTCCAGCACATGTATATGAGCAGCTGCTCACCATCTACTTGCTTCAGAATGATCTGTAAGTTCACTATGTACATCATCAGTATAAATCTGGTAATGAGATAAAGTTAGGTTTCTAATTACACAGTAAATGCTTGTTCATTATCACTGGATATGCTTTTGTAGGAAGCCATTTAATTTTTTTTATCATGAAAAAAGCAGTAAATTATAAAGAAAATCTGATGCAAGCAAATTTTCTTGAATTCAGCACCAATATTTATATGTTTAATTTATGTTAAGGAGCCATGCTTAATAATTTTTTTATTAATATAGAGGTAGTACTATTAAATTTTTTGAAAAATTATTTTTCAGAATCTTATTTGACAATTTTCTAAATAGTTTTATTTTTTCCAGAACTGGGGCCAAATTTCTTTGGAAGCGTATTCCGTCAAGCACTAAAAATGCTACCCCAGAACTTGCCCTTATATGGGAAGTAGGTCAGAACTTGTGGCAACGTGACCTACCAGCTGTATATGCTGCCCTTAAACAAGAATGGTCACCAAATGTCAAGGACATCATGAAAGTTGTACATGGTATAATTCTGTAATTTTATTTGGAAAAAGTACTGTGAAGTCCTAAAATAATTTTTTTTTCTCCTCAGATGTGTTTGAATTAATTTTCAATGGTTTGGATTTTCAAAGCATGTGATTTTTTTATGTAAGAAATCCACAAACATTTTATAGCATCCAAAGCATAGTAATTTGTTTAGAATGTAGTGCTATCACTTCTCATAATTGTACTAGCTCACCAGTTCATCCCTCCAGCATTACCAGGTTAGGACACTTGTTCTCTACACTAGGCAATATTTTTGCATATCTTATCAAACATTTTAATAAGATGTAATGGATGTACACTACAGATAGGGTAATAAAAACAAATATCATTGTTGAACTTTTGTCTACGAATGCTGTCTTTTCCGGCATATAAGGCACATGAGCATATAAAATACAATTCAGTTTTGGCAGGCATCTTCCATGGTAAAAAAAAAAAATGCAGGACAGTATTTGCCTCGAAATGGCTCTTATGCCTACATCATAGCTGAAAGAGATAGAACCTTGCACAGCTTGTCGCTGTTTCACCACCACCCACCACCAAACCACATGTGGCTTCTTCTCATTTACAGACAGCTACTTTACAGTTATTTACAACTGCTGAAGCTAGTTTGCTTATTATGTACCAGTTACATATAAATTACTATTTGTGTGTAACTGGTACATAATAAGCAAACAGTTTTCTAGGGGGTATTTGGAGTTCAGTTTACTGGTGCAATAGCACTGCAGTCACCACTTCCAGTTACCCAAAGCCTACCCTTGTTCCTGACCTTCGACATGTAAGGTGCAGGATGATTTTCCAAGACCTTTTCTTATTTATTTAGGGTGAGGGGAGAGAAGCATGCCTTACGTGCTGGAAAATTTGGTAGTTATTTGAGTGGAAATGCAGTAATTTGGGTACACTAATTTAAAAAACAGACACATGTTCAGTGTACAACATTAAATTTATTAAGGCATTTGTCTTGTACATCACCATATGACTTTCATCTGTTTTTGAACTGCAGTATCAGCATTGTCTTCTATCATCATCACGTATCACTTGTTTTGCCATCAGACAGGTCATTCACAAAAATTGTCGTGTCTCAAGTGTATTGATATCATATTTCTTAATATGTATATAACCAAAACTGCAGTTCTAATTTGGCTATAAGCTTTTGCAAGACAATATTGGAACTAGTGTGCTGATTCCTTTGATGAATGTCCTCGTTCCATCAAGTTACGTTATTTCTGTCTCATATTGTCCCTAAAAATGGTTTGTTAGACCACCAAGATTCATAGCATTAGCATCAAGGTGTGCTTTAAACATAATGCAACTGACATTCTTTTTTTTCTTCCTGTATATTACCTCTGACCTGAAAATCTGAACTTTTCCATCAATATTTTATGCTACATAATCTGTCCAGCTTTTATTGTAAACACAGACAACTCCTCTAGTCCTTTTAGGGTGTTGCTGTTTTGGGATTTTTTTTTCTCTTGAATATCACAGTTGTCGTAAGTTACTTCTGTCAGCCATACTAGACTGTCTGACTGTCTAGCATGTACAGATTCATAGAAGTTTCATCAAAATTCCTAATTGATTGTAAACTTATGCCAATACATAATCTTGCCAAATTATGCTTTAAAAGAAAGTCGTAGTCTGACAGTGAGGTTGACTTCTGGTATCGTCAAGATCATATGCCCTAAAGTGCAGTGGAACCTCAAATATCGAACTTTCTTCAGTCCAGAAGGCTGTTCGAGTGCCTTTACCGAATGAATTTATTCCCATCAGGAATAATGTAAATTAGATTAGTCCATTTCAGACCCTCAAAAATACACTTATAAAAGCACTTACAAAAATACACTTACATAATTGGTTGTGTTGGGAGCAGTTCGATTTTTGAGGTTCCACTGTATATACTTTTATGTTGCAGTAAAATGTTCTTGTTATGGAACTGTTAAATCAGTGCCAGGACTGGCTTTGAGATTTGCAGCTCCTAATATGTTTGTATGTTTTTGTGGTTCATATGCATTAGCACTATTAGAGACTGGTTTTCACTTTATTTTTTCTTCCATACATTTGAGCAGCAGGTTAATTTTTGACAAGAGAAAATATTAGGTTTGAATAATTTTAATTTTTAATGAGTAAGATAATATGCACATAGTGTACTTACATGCAAATCACATATGTGATCAGAATGCACATTAATAGTATATGATATTTTTTTTTTTTAACAAGTCTGTCATCTCCCACTGAGGCAGGGTGACCCAAAAAGAAAGAAAATCCCCAAAATGAAGATACTTTCATTATCATTCAACACTTTCACCTCACTCACACATAATCACTGTTTTTGCAGAGGTGCTCAGAACACAACAGTTTAGAAGCATACACGTATAAAGATACACAACATATCCCTCCAAACTGCTAATATCCCAAAACCCCTCCTTTAGAGTGCAGACATTGTACTTCCCATTTCCAGGACTCAAGTCTGGCTATATAAAAATAACTGGTTTCCCTGAATCCCTTCACTAAATATTACCCTGCTCACACTCCAGCAGATCGTCAGGTCCCAAATACCATTCGCCTCCATTCACTCCTATCGAACAACTTTCGATTCTTAACCCTTTCAGGGTCCGTCCCGTAGATCTACGGCTTTACGTTCAGGGTCCAAACCGTAGATCTACGTCATGAGCTCAGCTCACTCTGATAAACTGTGAGTGGTACATTTGGGCCTAGATATGAGAGAATACATCTATGTGGTATGTGTGCACCACATAAAACAGATCCTGCAGCACACTGTGTATAATGAGAGAAAAAACTGAAATCATGATTTTTCGATTAAAACAGTGACTTTGCAGTGTTTTTTCGTATGTTTTTTATAGTTGTATTTGAGATTTCTTGGTCTCATTTGATAGAATGAAGACATATTACAGAAATAGAGATGATTTTGATTGGTTTTAGCACTGGAAATGGCTTGAAACTGAGCTCAAAGTAGCAGAAATGTTAAATTTTTGCCGATATTCAAGAGTAAACAAACGACCTCACACATCTAATACACGCCAGCTGGTGGGTCAAATATGCATTCACAAATATGGTGATGATATTTATACAATTATTACAGCATTGCATAACAGTAAATCTTCTATTTTTTGGTGTGAATAAAAATTCATTATGTGAATAAAAAATCAAAATGGAATTAATTTGTAAAGCCTCAAAACGTAACTAATGAACAGAGGAAATGTTAGTTTAGTGCCAGGAATACCTACATTGTATATTCTGGGCCCTATTTTGAAATTGGAATATTTTGAACTTTGTGTTAAATTGGCCAAATTAACAATCTCCGATGACTTTAATTTGTAGTTGAAACAGTTGACTTGGTGATTTCTTGTGCTCAATCGATAGAATAGAAGTAATACTAGTGAAATAGCTAAGAATTTGGTTGACTGGAATAATGTAATTGGCCTAAAATGGGAGTCAAAGACGGCAAAATCGCCGATTCGTAAATATTGCTGACACATCAAAATTCGCGAGAGTATAATTTCATCAATTTTCCATCAAATTTCGTACTTTTTGTTTTATTACCTTCACAAAAAGATTCTCTACCATTTCATAAGAAAAAATAACAATTTTTTTTTTTTTAAATTCTTTGACACTGGGCCTTGGACCCTGAAGGGGTTAAACGTTGGTGTATTGTCCCACAAAAACTAGGCTTCTCGTATGTGCTAAATAAATTAAAAATTAATTTGGTGGTGGACAAAAATTCTAGTACAAACCTATACTAGAGTACAGTGGATCCCCGGTATTCGATATTAATCCGTTCCTGAGAGCTCATCGTATACCAAAATTATCGAAAGGCAAATTAATTTTCCCCATAAGAAATAATGGAAATCAAATTAATCCGTGCAAGATACCCAAAAGTATGAAAAAAATATTTTTACCACATGAAATATTAAGTTTAATGCACACAAACTGAAGAAGACATGCACAGTTTGTAGTACTCTACTAACAATAGAATACATGACACTTACCTTTAATGAAGATCTGGTGATGATTGATGGGATGGGAGGAGGGGAGAGTGTCGAACTTATTGTTTAGAAGGGGAATCCCCTTACATTAGGACTTGAGGTAACAAGTCCTTTTCTGGGGTTACTTCCCTTCTTCTTTTAATGCCACTAGAACCAGCTTGAGAGTCACTAGACCTTTGTCACACAACAAATCTGTCCATAGAGCTCTGTACCTCCCGTTCCTTTACGATTTGTCTAAAATGGGCCACAACATTGTCATTGTAACAGTCACCAGCACAGCTTGCAATAGCTGTGTTAGGGTGATTTTCATCCATAAAGGTTTGCAGTTCAACCCACTTTGTACACATTTCCTTAATTTTTGAAGTAGGCACAATGGATTCCACAACTGGCATAGGCTTCTCAGGGTTAGCCCCAAACCCTTCAAAATCTTTCTTAATTTCCATACTAATTCTCACCCTTTTTACCACAGGGTTGGCACTAGAAGCTTCCTTGGGGCCCATGGTGACTTATTTTGCAGAAACATGCACCAAAACCACTGTGATAATATGGAATGTACCGAATGTATCCTTATATGCGAGCACACTGGCTTGCTTGTAAACACTGGCACACACTGGGCAGTTCAGGCCACACATGGACATGTCTCGGACGAATCGCGTGTGGCGGGTTTTTTAACGAGAAGCGAGGCAAAATTTTTGCGTTAAAATGTATTGAATACTGGATTTATAGGATACCGATGCCATCGAATACCGGGGGTCGACTGTATATATAAAAAGTATAGATAAATGTAATAATCCTAGGTAGTAGGTTGGTAGACAGCAACTGCCCAGGTAAGTACTACTGTCCTGTCAAGCGAGTGTAATATGGAAGCCTGTAATTATTTTACACGATGGTAAGATTGTTGGTGTCTTTTTTTTCTTATAAATGTGCAAGATTTCAGGTACGTTTTGCTACTTCTACTTACACTTAGGTCACACTGCACG